CTCCTCCTCCTCCTCCTCCTCTTCCTCATCCTTCTTCTTCAAGAATGCCCATCATCATTTCATGTAATACTGGTTTGGTGATGATGGATTCCTTTAGCATTTTCTTGTCTGTGAAGCTCTTTATCTGACCTTCAATTCTAAATTATAGCTTTACTGGGTAGAGTAATCTTGGTCGTAGGTCCTTTCTATTCGTCACTTTGAATATTTCTTGCCACTCCCTTCTGGCCTGCAGTTTCTCTTGAGAAATCAGCTGACAGTCATATGGGCACTCCCTTGTAGGTAACTAACTGCTTTTCTCCTGCTGCTTTTAAGATCTTCTCTTTGTCTTTAACCCTTGGCATTTTAATTATGTTGTATCTTGGTGTGGGCCTCTTTAGATTATATTTTATCCACATATTAGAGAATATGAGTATCAATGCTCTGTTTTCAGGGTAGGTCTTACAAGAACTAGAGAATAAATAATGGGAAAGAGTATATTAAATAATTAATTCACAAAAACAAAGTGTTCAAAAGCAAGTAAGAGAGGTTGGTAGTTCATTGTGATAGAATTAATAAAGAACAGATGAACTGTACTATTTGTTTTGATTGAAATATGTATGAAAAATTTAAGGATAAAAAGGCAAGTGGTTATTTTCAAGAAACCTTGTTTTTTTAAGAATAAATATATGTAAGTATATAGATAGATAGATAGATAGATAGATAGATAGATAGATAGATGACAGATAGATAGATAGATATAGATGTCTTTATTGATTTCAGAGAGGAAGGGAGAGGGAAAGAGAGATAGAAACAACAATGATGAGAGAGAATCCTTGATTGGCTGCCTCCTTCAGGTCCCCTCTGGGGATCAAGCCCGCAACCCAGGCATGTGCCCTTGATTGGAATCGAACCTGGGATCCTTCAGTCCGCAGGCTGACGCTCTATCCACTGAGCAAACCAGCTAGGGCAAGAAATCAACCCTTCTGAAAAATGACTTTAAATCCATGCTTTTCTCAAACTGCGGCTCGTGAGCCACATGCGGTTCTTTGGCCCCTTGAGTATGGCTCTTCCTAAGTCTTAGGAGTACCTTAATTAAGTTAATAACAATGTACTTACCTATATAGTTTAAGTTTAAAAAATGTGGCTCTCCAAAGAAATTTCAATCGTTGTACTGTTGATATTTGGCTCTGTTGACTAATGAGTCTGCCCACCACTGCTCTAGACAAAGAGAAATCAAATACTATTTTATTTTATCTGCCCCTATCTTGCAATGGTCTACTTTCCTATTCTCAGATTTGTAGCTTCATATTAATACTACCTCAAACTAATCTCACTACTGTTGTTCATTTGTTCTGAGAATGTCACATTCTGAAAATGTTTCCACAATGGAAGTAGAGTTTATGCAATTAATTGCATGTTTAATTTGGATTGAACCTAAGATTGAAGTAGAGCATTAATCAGCACATTGTTTTATCTCTTTTATTTTCAGGTTAGAAAACATGATTTTTCTAGTGTGTTCTTGTTTAATGCCAAATAATATAGTATCCACTTAAAAATTAAAACACACCACTAATTAAGCAACTTTAAAAAACACACAAAATGCAATACTTAGCTGGGTTGTATGCTGGGTGAAAAAGATGAATGCATCTGCCAAATGTACACATTTTACAACTGTTGCATAATTTGAATCCTGGGAGAATTTGATTCATGTTACTCACCATTTCCTCCACTGGCACTACACCTAATAGAGAAACCATATATCTTAAACTTTTATAGGGAAAACACTGACCTATTTTCACTGATACCTGGAATCTAATGAACCAAAATAACAAGCAAAACAGAAACAAACTCATAGATTCAGAAGAGAGTGACAGTTGTCAGAGAGGAAGAGGGCTGGGGAACTGGGTGAAAAAGGTAAAGAAATTAAGAAAAAAAAAAGCCCACCGGTGTGGTTTAGCTGTAGAGCATCAGCCAGAAGCCAGGAGGTCTCCAGTACTATGTAGAATTCTTGGTCAAGGCAGTGCCCAGGTTGCAGACTCAATCCCCAGTAGGGGGCATGCAGGAGTCAACCAATCAATGATTTTCCTTTCTCATTGATGTTTCTATCTCTCTCCCTTCCTCTCACTCTAAAACTTAATAAAAATATTTAAAAAACAAAACTCATAGACACAAACAACAGTATGGTAATTACCAGAGGGAAGGGGGCATGGGTGGAAATAGGAGAGGGTAAAGGGGGATAAATGGTGATGGAAGGATACTTGACTTGGGATGGTAAACACACAATACAATATACAGACATTGTATTGTAGGATTGTACACCTGAAATATGTATAATTTTATTAACAAACTAGAGGCCCAGTGCACAAAAATTTGTGCACTCGGCAGGGGGGGTGGTCCCTCAGCCCGGCCTGTGCCCATTTGCAGTCCAGGACCCCGTGGGGGATGTCCACCTGTCTACTTAGGCCCACTCCTCGGGGGATCAGACCTAAGCTTGCAGTCAGACATCCTTCTGGCAGCCACGGAGCCCTCGGAGGATGTCCAACTAAAGGCTTAGGCCCCCAAGGGAGCTGTGATGAGGAAGCTGGGGTGACAGAGGAGCCACGCTGTCCCGCCCCGCCGCCCTGGGTCAGGTCACACATGGGAAGCCCAGGCGGGCAGGT